ACGATTTCTCCGTCTGCCTTTTGGCACTGAGCCGTCTGCATGGCATTGACGTGCACCTTGTGCTGCGCGACGCGGCGCTGATTTTGCGCTCCGTGCCGTCCTCTGTGGCGTTGCTGTCGCACTACTTCAACGATTCGGCGGGGGAGGTTCGGCACTGCGGGGTTTCGTATGTGAGTGTTCAAACAATTCTCCAGGCGTTCAACGGCAGCTTGTGGCGGGCGGCAGAGGGAGCGGCGGGCGGGGGGTGGATGCAGTCGGGACTGTTTCTCGTTGACCTCCGCACACACCGCGGGGCGGACGTGCTTCCACAACGCGCGACACGCGTGGAGGAACGTGTCGTGGGGGCACTGCTTTTTCCTCTTGCAGCGCTTCACGCACATGAAGATGATGATGATGACACTGGCGCCACGAAATACGCACAGCGACTTGTCACCCAACAGGCCACGGAGCTTCTGCTGCAGCTTGACAACATGGCAATGGCAGCCCTTCCACCGCTCTCGAAAACATCATCATCGTCATCACCAGCAGCAACGGAGTTGAAAACAAAAACGTTGCCACCGCCAATTCCCGTGGGAGAAGATTTGAAGGATGGTCCGTCTACCGCTCTGCAGGAGTGTGCTATGGCCCCCCATGTTGTCTTGTTTACACGGTCAATGGAACCTGTTGAGACGGCGGCGGCAGAATCACTTGCGCTTGAGTTGGTGCGGTGTGGTACTCCCCATGTGTCCATCCTTTTTGGGGGTTTTGTGGAGCTTAAGAGGGAAGCATCACATCTTGTCGTTGAATTCGAAGAGGATTGACGGTTTTTCCGCTCCTTTGCCGGCGATTTCTTTTCGGTTGCATTTTAGCGTGGGCACATAATGCATGCGTCTTTGGAGGCTTGTCTTTATCTCGCATGTGGACATGTTTTTTGCTTTTTTTTTTTTTTCTTGTGTGTGTGTGTGTGTGTGTGTGGGCGTTCGCTGCATGTTTTGTCTCTTGTGTTCTCTTGAGTTGTAGTTTTCTTTTGCTCTGTTTACACACCCACACACAAACACATTTTTTTTTTTTTTTTTAATTTTCAAACTCTCAGTCTTGCCTACAGTGCGAAGAGGTAGTGGAGAGGAAATTTGGAATAACACGCCACGGGAAATAAGCCGCGTGAAATGATTAAAGTTTTTTGCACCAACGAGAATGGCGAAAGCTGCACTATTGCGATTGATCCACAGTCGTCCGTGGAGGACGTGGCGGCGATTATTGAGGTGGAGCTTGGGGTACCCATGCTGGAGCAAGTGCTTGTCACAGCCGACGGCAAAACGCTCCAAAGCGACAAGACACTTGAGTCTCAGGGCATCCGTGATGACACTAGCATCGTGGTGATACATACCGCCAAAGACTACAGGGCTGCACGGGCTCAAAAAGAGGGTGCTGAGGAAAAGGGGCTCTCGGTAGAAGCACGGCCTCCGCCGGATCGTGAAACGCACGTCTCACGACGGCAAGGCGTAGGGGAGGAGCACAATGTACAACACAGAGACCCATTTTTGCGTCAAGAGAGACCGAGGCAGCAGCAGGCAGGGCTTGAAGCTGCGCGTGCGTATATGTCAGAGGGAACACAAAGAGGGCATGTCGGCACGTCGAGGCATCAGGGCGGAGTACCACAATCAACAGACCACGCGCGCGCACGCATCGAGCAGTTGTTCAATCAGGGAGCGGAGCGGTTTTCGGGGCAGACTCCGTTGCAGGAGTCCGATCCGGAAGTACAGCGCCGCATTTATGAGTCTATTTATTGGGAGAACGTGAATGAAAATCTTGAAAGCGCGTATGAGTTTATGCCGGAGCTCTTTGTGCGGGTCCCAATGCTATTTGTAAACTGTGAGGTGAATAAGGTGATGGTCAAGGCCTTTATTGACTCGGGTGCGCAGAGGTCTATCATGAACCTTCGCACGGCGGAAAAGTGTGGGCTCATGCGACTGCTCGACACTCGTGCGAAGGGCATTATGCGAGGCGTGGGTGTGCGGCGGACGCTTGGCGTCGTCCACATGGCCATGGTCAATCTTGGCGGCCTTCACATTCCTCTTTCCCTCAGCATCATTGAGGACGACAAGATGGAGTTTATTATTGGTCTGGACCAACTGAAGCTGCACCGCATGATTATCGACTTGAGGGAAAACTGCCTGAGGATTGCTGACACCCGGATCCCGTTCCTTCCGGATTCCGAGGTGCCGGAGTTGGCCACTGGGGATGAGGTTGTGGATGAGGAATTTGAGGCAAAGGAAGACGCGAAAGGCCAGCAGCGCGGATTCGCCAGGCTTCCGGAAGCGTCATCGAATACCGCCGAGGAAGATGAAAGGGGAGGCCAATGGGGGCGGCAAGCAAAGAAAGAAAGGGAGACGAGAAATTCTGTGGCATCCACCACCAACGTTAGTGGCGCGGTAAGTGCACCGGCGCAGGACTTCGGGACTAACCGCGGTAACGCCAACGTGAATAAAGAGAGGTCTATTGCGGAGGTGATGGCGTATACACGGATGGATCGAGAGGGGGCTGTCGCACTCCTGGAGGCGGCCGACTGGAACGCCGACTTGGCCGTGTCAATCTTTCTTGGTGAGTGAGTTGACTTCCACCGTAATCCTCTCTCTCTCTCTCTCTTTTCTTCAAGAAAACGTCAGGCACGCAGGGAAAACGAGAAAAAAAAAGGGAATATATATATATATATATATATACAAGAAAAAGGAACTGCAGGCCGGTAGGATGGTGAAGTATTTAAGTTTCTCTATATATGCATGTGTGCGTGTCCTTGTGCGTTTGTCGTTTTTAAAGTGCTTTTTTTTCGTTGCCTACAATTTCTTTGTGTTTTCTTATCCTTTGTTCACACGAGACCACACACGATGTTTCTTGCGACAGAAGCAGTAGCAGCAGCTTCTGTGGAGGGGGGTGGCGGCTCTTGCATGAGTCATTTCTTTTCCTGTTTATTTTCTGCCATTTGCTGCGATGCTGTCGTTTTTTTTTTTTTTTTTGGGGGGGGGGGGGGTGGGGGAAATTAAAAGAGAGTTTGTGAGGGGCCACTTTGACGGGCCAAACGCAAGCATCCACACACACACACACACACACACACACGTAGGTATATAAACACAGCGATATCTATTTATACATCTTTTCAATACGTTTGCCTGCAGACAAAAAACTTTACACCCGCGTATTACTTCTCTTTGCAATGTCGTTAAAGGGGCAAACAAGTCCCCTCTGGAGGGGCAATCGCGCAGCGGCAATGGTGAGACGTATCCCACGGGGATCTATCACTAGTGCGGGCAGTTGTGGCAGAGAATCGCGGGAGCAACAGGGCATTTCCACAAGTCCGAATAACACCACTATCGAGATTTCCATCTTGCCCGAACTGAACTTGGATGAAACCTTGCGTGTGCGCGACGTATTCTCAGAGTTTGTTAATGATGAATACATCACCACGATGTTTACCTTACGGGTGGTCCTCTCCCAGCTTGGTATGTATCCATCCGATGAGGAGCTGTCCTTCCTGCTGGGCGTTTTTGAGAATAAAATAAGTGTCAACAATCTATGTCACTATCTGCGTTTCTACAAGCGTAAGTTTCAAATATTCGCGCAGCAGCGTCGTGTTGAGAACCCGGAGGGAAATGCGCAGGACGAGAGCGAAGACACGCTACGAGCTTTTGTTTCGCTTGGAGGTGCTGAGGATGGCACTGGCTCCGTAAAACTAGAGGATCTGCGCAAGGTGTGCCGTGATTTTGGTCTCACCATTGACATCGACGCCATGCTTGTCGATGTTGTGGACATTGAGAATCAGAAGACACTTAATTATGCTGAGTTTTGTGATATGTGGCGGAGTCGACGTCGCCGACGCGATCAGGGCTCTGTAGTATCGGTACAGGATAGTCAAATCGACATTCTCAGTGCTCTGCGTGCACTTGGCATGGATTGCTCCTCGGCACTACTTCTTAGCAACAAGAGCCCTGAATGCAGTGCTACCGTGGCGAAGGATGAAATGGGGGTGGAGGGTTACAAATTCCCATTAAACGCAGACCCCGGATCTTCTTTTCAGCAGCAGCAGAGTAATAACATGACAGTTCTGCGGTCGGAGGCCCAAAATCTACAGGCCCTTAAGCGGTTTCTTGTTCCAGAGGTTGCTGGCGGTTCCATGGCGCAAGATACAACGCCGTCGGCGAAGCGCAAAGCAGTGCGCCACCATTCCACACTGCCAGCACTCCATGTCGCGGCGTTGGCGGAAAATGACCGAAAGCGTGGTTACTATCCTCCTCGCGAAGAAGGCACTAATGCTGCCACTGGTGGTGGTGGTGGTAAAGATGATGGGGGGCTGCCTACATTGACAGGAGGGACAGGAGGCGGCTATCGTGCCCCAAGCCCGATGATTTTGTCACTGCGCAACAGTGCCGCCTACAAGAAACGATTGCAGGCATTCGTGCAGAAGTCAAAAATGAGGTCGAGGGGTCGTGTCTCAAGTGTGCAGACACGCCTTACATCCATCCCACCTGAAGATGATGGCCGAAGCTAGCGGGTTGGGAAACAAACAGCACGGAGAGAGGAAAGGAAGACGTATTAGAATCGATGACGTTGCCCATGTACAAAAAAAAAAAAAAAAAACGGCGGCTTATGTTAAAGCCAGTCTCTCTCATTTACCCAGTAACTTGTGGAAAGCAGGAGAAAGGAAGAATGCAAGCAAAAAAAAAAAAAAAAAAAAAAGAAAAAAAAAGAGAGAGATATGTATAAAAAGCCAACCAGAAAAGAGATAAAAGATCGCTTGCTTGGGAAGGACGGGGTGGGGGATATCACGATGTTGATGTGGCTCAATGAAGTTGGTGTAAGCCTCCTGCGCGATATTATGAGGAGTGCTTTTTTTTTTTTTGTCCTTTCATGATTTTGCCCTCTCTCTATGTATTCAACCTATTTTATTTTATTTTATTTTATTTTTTCCTTTCTTGCTTTTTCAATTTCACTACTTTTTTTTTATTATCTTGCTTAATTGGGTTTGTATGTGGGGATCTTTTCTGGGGCTACGGGGCCTTTGCCGACATTATCTTTTTTTTGTTTTTGTTTCTTCATCTTTTATTTGGTTGTATTCTCGTGTTTCGCACATCGGCCCGGAAGCGTCTCCTTCTGCGTGTTTGGATCTGGGGGGGGGGGGGGGGGGGAGCCGACAAGCCCTCACTATGCCGTCACGAAGGTTCAATGCACGCCGTGGGATGATTGCAGCGCGTCGTGGATTTTTCACGGCCACGTCGCCGTGCCGTCAATCTCGATTGGTTCCTTTTCACGAACTTTTCGCGCCGCTGTCGTCGTCGTCGTCTTCGCCGAGCTTGCCAAGGCGCTTCCCGGTTCACAGCGTTTGCGTGGATCCTCCATTGGGCACATTGGGGGAGCTTTCACGGAGTCAAGGAGCGGGGGCGGAGGACGGCAGTCCGCTCAGTTGGCTCCGTCAAAATCTTCAGCTTTTGGAAGATGGGAGGAAATCCATTAATGAGCGTAGGGTGAGCATGCCAGAGGGAAGCCCACAGTGGCCGCGCTACATGTTTCCCTCTCACTGCTGTGACTATATCTACGATCCTTCAAACGATTCAAAGCTTGCATTTGTGACATCAGACAATTACTGCCACTTATGCCACGAACCGGTGGAGGTGGCGATTCAACATTGTGCCTGGTGGGACCACGTGACACGGCTGGCAGCCATTCGTCTTATCGCAATTTACCCCCGCCGTTGGAGTCCCGTTGCCGTCCTACGGGAGGCGAACGAAGTACTCCCCACTGCCGTCATGGTGTCACCCCGGCCGCATCCATTTTTGTCCTTTTCGGAAGCGGTGGATGCCGATGATGTCTCTTTGATGGACATGAGCTCTTGTTATGTTTTTGAAAGGGAGGCGGTTGTGCGGCGAGCCGAGTTGGCGGCAATCCTGCGTGTCTTGTGTACCGCAAAGGACGCCGACAGCTGTGATGATGCGGAGCAGCGTATCTCCTCGATCATTCCTGTGCTTCGAGAGTCGCTGTTTCTTTCACCAAACGGTACTCCTGCGGCAAGCTCGGGGGAGCGGACCTTTCGTGCCTACATTAGCCGGCAAATCAGTGTGTTTCTACCGCCCATGGCACCGGAGCCCACGACGCGGATACAGCAACGTTGTTGGGGGCGGAAAAACTTGGAGATCATGTTTGACCTGCTCGGTGTGGCGTCACTGCAGAGAATTGCCGGAGCGCCTGTTGAGGCAGTGACAAAGAATGAGAAGGCGGCAGTCCTTCGGCAAATCATTTACGAACTAGCGACGGTCCTTTCGGAGGGTGACGCGGAATTCGCAGAAACTTCTTGCGCCAAAACAAACGGCACGTCCTCAGTCGATGCGAAGGTGCAAACCCGTTTGCTTGCGGAGATGGCGCTGCAGCGCCTCGCACATGAGTTGATTCATCTTCACACGATGTTGCTGATGGATCAGGCGTATGAGACCTATGTGAAGCTGGGATACCCGAGCGAGGGGATGCTGGAGAAGAGTGGCTTCTGCTGAGTGTTGGCTTCACTACTCAGGCTGGTGATTGGTTTGCTTCGCTGAGGTGGATGGGTGAGTCAGAGTGCTGTTGTGGCTTGCGTTTCCTTGTGGGAGCCGTGTATGGTTTCCTTTTTCTCCTCTTTCTTTATTATTATTATTATTATTATTATTATTATTCTGTTGTTTCTTAATTTCCTTGTTGAATAAACGGCGGGATAAAGGAGGGAATATAGTCACGCAAAAAAAAAAAAAAAGGAAAATAAATACAATTGAGGTTGGAGCACGACTTGAAGACGTTTGTTTTTCCACAAAAACGGAAAGGAATAGACCGAGACGTACGAACACGCGTCTTTTTTTTTTTTTTTGTTTCTTTTGCGAGTGGTGGATGAAAATGGAGGGGGAGCAATGGATGGGCGGGGTCGCCGGCGTGTGCCGTGGCAAAGCGTCTCACTTTTTAAAAGCCACGTCCTGCTCCACTACACGGTCGCCGCTTTTGCTTTTTTGCATTATTTTGCTCTTGACAGGGACGCCGTTTATGTCGTTTTTGGTGGAGGCGCATCACATTTTGGCGGTGGACCTCGGTGTTGATTGGGCGAAGGCAGCCACGCTGGGCGGCGGGAGCGGGGCATCGTTGATCCCCACTATTGTTCTCAATGATCAGGCAAACCGAAAGAGCCCACAGTGTATTGCCTTTCGCTTTCTTCCATACGACACGGACGACATACTCCAGAGGGTGGAGCGGTTTTTTTCGGAGCAGGCGCAATCGCTTGAGCCCCGCTTCCCCGATCAGGTCGTATGCGGACCTTCGCTGCTCGCCGGACGTGGGGTTTCGCGCGTAGTTACTGATGGAAACAACACCGGCGGTGTGACGCAGGGGTCGAATAATAAGGATGCGTTGTCATTGGATGAACTGGCATCACTGACTTTTTCCGTGGTTCCGCACTCCTCCCGCGACAAGGTGGCTGTTCGCATTCTGGGTGGAAAGAATAAGAGTGTTTTGGAGTTTTCCACAGAGGAGCTGATCGGTATGTTTTTTGCATACTTGAAGCGAATAGCTGAACGTGGCCTGAACGGTGAGCCGCTGCGTCACCTTGTCGTGACTGTTTCGGCCCACGCTTCACTGGCGCAGCGGCAAACATTTGTGGATGCTGCGGCTGTTGCGGGCCTGCGCGCGGTGCGGCTTGTGCACGGCACCACGGCAGCGGCTGTGCAATTGGCACACCTCAACATTGAGCAGTTTTTTTCATCGGCGCGCGAAAAGGGACCAAAGTACATCATGGTGTACGACATGGGCGGTCGACGAACGGAGGTTGCAGTGTATGAGTTTGCACCGTCTCGTCAGAGGCTTGGAACGATCACGCTGCGTACGGCGATTGTCAATAACACACTTGGCGGCCGTGCCTTTGACCGCTGCATTGCCCGCTATATTGAGCGGGAACACTTCCCGAAGGCGAGGCCTAAGGCCATCGAACCCGTTCTTGGAGTCTCCAGCCCGGCTGCACGGAAGGCGGCTGTCAGCTTAATGCGAGCGGTTCAAAACGCGCGGGAGCGGCTCTCTGTGAATCAAGAGGCCCCTGTCGTTGTGCAGGGCGTTCAAGAGGGAGACAGCGGTGACTTCACCACCATTATCTCACGTGCCGTCTTTGAGCAGGAGTGTGCTCATCTCTTTGACGAAGCCGTACGTTTGCGTGACGAGGCGATTGCGCAGACGAAAGGCATCGTATCATCTGTGCGGGAGTTGACACGCTTTGAGATGATTGGTGGCGCTACACGCATGCCTAAACTTTTGGAGCGCCTTAGCGACGGGTACGGCAGGGCGGTGGACCGGACTCTCAACAGCGACGAGGCAGCGGTAGTGGGCGCCTCATACATGGGTGCTGCACGGGCGAACATCCCCATCCGCGGTTTTGCGGTGGTGGAGCCACTGATGAATGATGTCTGGTTCTCACTCACGCCCTCGCTTCAGGACCCGAGAGACGCAGCGGCGCCACCTCGGGACAGCACCCGACACCTTATTTTCCCTAAGGGCAGCACAATTCTGCCGGCTGTGCGATCCCTTCAGCTGAAAAACCGCACCGCTGACTTCACGCTAACATTAGAGGATGAAAGTGGGCATTTTACCCGGGCGACATTTATTCGCGGTGTCAACGAGAGTATTATGGCGGCACAGCTATTACCGCAGTCTTTTCGTGCGAGTGATGGGGCAGGAAAAAAAAGAAGGGAACGCTTGTCACTTGAGCATACGGAGGTTATGTTGGAGGTGACAGCAACAGAGAGCGGCATTCCGTTTGTGTCCAATGCGTACTTGCATGCCACATATTTGAAGGTGACAGTAGCGAAAGAGCCCACGGACACCGTACAGAATGAATCGAATGCTGGTTCCGCCGCAGGGGAGAACGCGACGGACGCTGAGGCCCCCAATGGGACCGAGAAATCTTCGAAGCCTCAGCAGCCCGACGAGTACCCCGGAGAGGAACAAGAGGAACAGCAACAGCGTGACTTGGGAGCGGAGGAGAAGTGGGATGAGCGACAAGAAAAGGCGGCAGAGGAAGAAGGAGAAGAGGAACGGAAAGAAAATCATAATGTTAGTGATCAAGCAAGCGAGAAGGACAGTAACGCCAGTGAAGCCACGGCACCACGCGCAGAAGATACGTCCGCGGAGAAGGAAATTGTCGAACGCGTGGTACGCAGCTTTCCCCTGCGTCTTGTTTCGGTACCCCTATCAGTTGGTGTCAATCTCAACAAATTGGAAGCGGCTGCTGCACGAGATCGTCTTTACGCCTTTCAACGGGTTGACGATGAGCGGCTGATGCGAAGTGCCCTTCGAAATGATATTGAGACCCTCATTCTGCACTACAAATCCCTTGACGCGTGGGACAAGGCGGTGGAGAACGAGGGCGAGGCCAACTGGAGGGAAGTTGTGAAGGAGGTGGAGCAGTGGCTTGATGACACCAGTGACAATGTTGAGATATCAGAGCTGCAGAGGCAACAGCAACGGATGAACAAGCTGCAAATTGGGGGTGCTACAACTGGCTAACTGCTGCTGGGAATATCGTTTTCGCGGAGAAGGGGATTCTCCATCTCTCTCTTTTTCCGTGTGTGTGTACGTCCATCACTTGTATTTTGTTTTGTGGCCGGCCGGTGAAGTGAAATTTTGTGATATTTATTTATTTATTTATTTTTATTTTTTGCTCTCATTTTCTTGGGTACACTCACGCACTTAAGTTTTTTTGCACTGGTGTGTTTCTTTTTGCTTTGGCGTACATACGCACCTTTTTTCCGTATCTGCAGCATCTTGCACGGAGGGAAGTTGAGGGGCAGAGAAGGAAAGAAAAGGGCGGGGGAGGAGAAGAGGCCGGATATAGCCTCGGGGAAATATTTTTATTTTTATTTTTATTTGACTCACGGAGACATTAGCGCTGCAATGCTTCGAAATTCAAGTCGTCGATGGATCCCTGTGATAAACTGCACAGCGCGAGATTCCCATTGCGCTGCTACGATCGATCACTGTACGCCCGTTGTGTATTCGTCGCTGCCAAACGGCTGCCGGGTGGCGACGGAATATTTCCCCAGCTGCCAGTTTGCCACAGTCGGTGTTTGGATCGATGCGGGTAGCCGCTTTGAGGACCTGCGGAATAACGGTGTCGCCCATTTCTTAGAGCACATGAACTTCAAAGGCACTGAAAAGTACTCCAAACGGGCAGTAGAGGATCTCTTTGAGCAGAGCGGAGCTCACTTTAACGCTTACACCTCGCGTGACCGCACGGCGTATTACGTGAAGGCTTTTAATGAAGATGTGGAGCACATGATTGATGTGGTTTCGGACCTGCTGAAGAACGGCCGGTATGACCCGCGGGATTTGGAGTTGGAGAGACCAACGATTCTGGCGGAGATGCGGGAGGTGGAGGAGCTCGTGGACGAGGTGCTCATGGACAATCTACACCAGGCGGCATACGACCCCATCTCCAGCGGTCTTCCCCTCACCATACTCGGTCCTGTTGAAAACATTTCCAAGCACATCGATCGTGAGATGATTATGGAATTTGTGCGGGTGCACTACACGGGCCCTCGCATGTGTTTTGTCTCCTCCGGCGGCATTCACCCCGATGAGGCACACCGACTCGCGGAAAGGTTTTTTGGCGATCTCCCTGCGAAAAACAATCGACCACCGCTTCAGGCGCTTTACCGTGGCGGACACACTGTTATGTGGAATGAACAGATGGCGACGGCGAATACGGCCGTTGCTTACCCTATCTGTGGTGCTTCGCATCCAGATAGTTATGCGCTGCAGTTAGTGCATAACGTTATTGGGCAGTTCCGAGAGGGTCAACACGATCAGTTTGCGTACCAGCATCTTAATCCCAAACTTCCATGGGAACGACTACCAAATATGGTCCAAATGCGGCCCTTTTACACGCCCTACGAGGAGACCAGTTTGCTTGGTTATCAACTCATCACGACACCCATGCTTCCTACTGACTCACCTGTCTCGCATCGGGACGAGAGCCAAGACAAGTTACTCGACTATTTGATACAGACAATCAATGAGTTAGCGGCCACCGCCGTAGATGAAGCCATATTGGAGGGGGCGAAGAGTGAGTTTAAGGCTTCCGTCATGATGATGCGGGACAGCACGACAAATAGCGCGGAGGATTTGGGACGGCAGATGATTCACTTTGGTCGCCGCGTGCCCATTCGGGAGGTTTTTGAACGGGTGGATGCGGTGACGCCGGCTATATTCCGTGACACACTGGCGAAGTACACTTCTTCGACAGTTCCAACAGTGTCTTACATTGGCTCTGCGAGTGCGGCACCTCGCTTTGACGCTGTGACGCAGATGAGGCAGAGAACAGGCAATGCGCTCTGAAGAGGTGTGAAGTTGATGGAGGGAATGGGGGAAAAGAAAAGAAGAAGGGGTGAAGGAGAGAATTGAGGGAGGGCAACGGCAACAACAGCGGGAGAAAAACAACAACATCACAGACCAAAAAAAAAAAAAAAAGGGTTGCATGAGCGCACTG